TTAGAACTAAGGCTGTAGCTTGGCGGTAGAGCATTTTCCTTGCATATGCGAGACCTGACACCGTACACACATTGTCTCACATCTGTTATTTCTCCTAGATTTGGGTGGTAATGCATCTTTCTCTTGTTCCACCATATCTTTTCCATATGTTCCATGGTGACTTTCTTGTTGTTGGCAGGAATTGTGTGTGTGTGTGAATTCATTTTATATATCAGTTTTCAGTTGAAACTCAGAATTTTGTAGTAAATAAACCCACATAAAGAGTACGCTGGCAAGTTCTGCTTTTGGCATTGATAGATAAGACTATTTTGGACCAACTCAGAACACATAAAATGGTACCAAAAAGTAATATTATCAATCCATTAGAGAACTAGATTAGGGAGAAATTTTATAGTAAAGATCAGAGGAAAATCGGTCTAGAATGTTGTGTCTTGCATTTGGGAATCTTCCTCTTAGAAGTCAGTAGCTTATTTGAAAGGAGGTGGTTTCCAAGCAGAGAGGCTAAGATATGAATTATCAATGAACTCATGAGGCTAGGGAGACCAGTATCAGAGTCCAGGAACTCTAAGCTAAGACTAGCTTTAAGTTGAGACCTCAAAAGGTGACAGCCTAGTAGAAAGAGCGAATTAAAAATTGGAGAAGTTAGAAAATGAGAATAAACCAGACCTCAGGGGTACAAAAGCTTAGTTTTGAATTTGTCCCTAAGTGAGTTTTAATCATGTATTTGAAGACTTCTTAAAATGGCACCATCTTGGTAACACTATTAAAAAAACATTTTTTTCATTAAAGTTGTAATAGACTTTATTAGTGCTTACTGTACGTTCCTTCACTCAGCTATTTTACTTCAGCTACTTCTATGGTTTTTTAATTTTTTTATTTTGATTTATCTACTACTCATTAAAAAAAGTATTTCTGTGTAAATTTTGATAGTTCCAATTCCTAATTAGATTATGTTGATTTGGGATTCCTAGTGATCCTATTCCTAGTGACCTTACACTCTTTTCCTGCTGAAACAAATTCAGATATCTCCTGAAGGAAGATATCATCTAACCATTTAAATTATGTATATTTTTAATTTATAGTATCTGTTGTGATAAAAGAAAAAGATTTATTTAGACAAGAAAATTCAAGAGGTTACTGGAAACCAAAGAATAAAACAGGATAGAAGTACTTGTGGTTTATCTGTTTTAGAATTAAAAAAAGGACAAGATTGAGAATTTTGACAAAGAATTAGGAGCTCAAGAAACATAATAAGGGGCTGGAGCAATAGCACAGCAGGTAGGGTGTTTGTCTTGCACGTGGCTGACCCAGGTTTGATTCCCAGCATCCCATTTGTCCCCTGAGCACTGCCAGGGGTAATTCTTGAGTGCAGAGTCAGGAGTAACTCCTGTGCATCACCAGGTGTGACCCAAAAAGAAAAAAAAACAATAAAAAATAAAAAAGAAACATAAAAAATAAAAAGAAACATAATAAAAAAATAAAAGAGAAACAGAATAAAAATGATAAAACTGGACAATACAACTTACAGTAGTAAGAAAAATTTCCCTTGATTGATAGGTTAAATAACTAATATACAGTCAAAAAATAATGAATTGAAATATAATGTAGTATAATTATATCACATTTTAGAAATGGAGGAATTAAATAATGAAGAGAGAAGAGCAGAGAAGACTAGAAGACATGGGATTTGTTAAAAAGAATGAAGTTGAATATCCAGGATAGGGAAAAAAATAATGGGACAGAAACTATATATATTTACATTAACTTTTGAAATTACTAAATCACTGTGAGATATAGAGTTACAAAGTTGTTTATGATTGAGTTTCAGTTGTACAATGTTCCAACACCCATCCCTTCACCAGTGCACATTTCCCACCATCATTATCTCCATCCTCCTCCCCAACCCAGCCCTGCTTCCATAGCCTGCTTCTATGGCAAACATTTTTCTTCTCTCTTTCTCTCTTCTTGGAGGCACTAAGTTTTGCAGTACTATTACTGAAAAGGTATCGTGCATATCATGCTAGCAATGTCCTCCTTAAAATCTATTAGCAGTTGTTTTAAATATTTAGCTGTTCCCTCATTAGGTGATTATACATTTAACATTTAACAGTGTGATTTCTTCCTGTTGTATGTATTCCTCGATGAATAGAAAATGGCCTTCGCTGTCCCTTCTAATCTTTTTCAACCTGAAATTTATGTTGTTGGATACTAGTATGGCCACCCCAGCTTTTTTGAGGGAGCTATTTGCATGCAGGATTGTTTTCCATCCTTTCTCTTTGAGTTTGTGTTTGCTCTGTTGAGATGAGTTTCTTGTAGGCAGCAGAATGTTGGGTTCTTTCTCTAAATCCATTTTGCCACTCTGTATCTCATAATTGGTGAATTTAGACCATTGACATTGAGAGAGATTATTGTTATGGGGTTTTGTGTCATCTTTCTGTAAGGGTCTTTTGCGCTTGTAGGATTTATCTTGTCTTACAGCAGCCCCTTTAACCCTACTTTTAGGTTTGGTTTTGAGTCTATGAAGTTCCTGAGCAGCTGTTTATTTAGAAAATAGTGTACCATTCCTTTGAGTTTGAGTGAGAGTTTAGCCGGATAGAGTATTCTTGGTGAAGCATTCATTTCAGTGAGTTTTTTTTTTTTTTCGCTATATCCCACCATTGTCTTCGGGTTTGGAGGGTTTCCTCTGATAAGTCTGCTGTGAATATAAGGGTGCGCCTTTGTACATGATTTCCTTCTTTGACCTTGGTGCTTGCAGTATTGTCTCTCTATTGGTGGCATCCATCATTCTAACTATAATATGTCTTGGAGTTTTTTTGTTAGGGTCTCTTTTAGCTGGTACCCTTTAGGCTCCTTGAATCTGAATGACTGCATTGTTGAGCTCTGGGAATTTTTCAGCAATGATTTGTTTTACTGTGGCTTTTTCATTGGGATTGTTTCCCTGACTTTTTGGTACTCCAATGATTCTAATGTTGTTCCTCTTGGAATCATCTCCTAGGACTCTGATTCGCTCCAGAGCTATTTTGAGGTCTCTTGCCATTGTTGTTGCCTGTTGGCTTGGTGCAGCCGATCTTCCAGCCTACTGATTATGTCTTGAGCTGTGGTCATTCTACTGTTGAAGGCACAGACTGAGTTTTTTATTTCACCTACAAAATCTTTCATTCATGACATTTCTGTGCATAGCTTTCCAATTTCTGCTCTCATTTCTTCCTGTAACCTCTCGATTGTTTCTGTCATGTTGCTGGATATCAGTCTGACTAATTCATTGAGTTCATTGAACATCTTCATGACTTCATATCTGAATTCTTTCTCAGAGAGGTCTTTTAGGTGAGCAGCACCTACTGAGGCTTCTTGACTCTTCATTGTCCTCCCCATGTGGCGGGGATTTGCGTTGTTTCTTCATGTTGGTGTGTAGGTATGGGGACTGAGATGTTAATAGATTGTTACTAGATTTAGATGTTAATAGACTGTTACTAAATTTCTTGGTATGACTAAACTACCTGTGGACGCTGTGAGCGCGGGGCTGCCTAAAATTAGGCCACGCCCACTTCTACAGAAGCCACGCACACTACTGAAGAGGCCATGCCTCATAGGTCCCTGGTGTGTGTGGGCACGTAGCAGTTGGGAGGGGAAGAAGACCCGGACAGCGGACAGCGTTGGGGACCAACAAGAAGAGGCTCAGAGCTGGTGGGCGACCCAGAATCCTAGAGGACGTCAGGGGCACTTTTGGGAAGAAAGCCAATTCCTGGGTTCGAGTACTGGCAGCTTAACTGACCTGGGAGGGGAGGAAGACTGGCACAGTGTTGGGGACAAACAGGAAGAGGCTCAGGGCTGGTGGGCGACCCAGAGTCCTAGAGGACGCGGTACTTGCGTGAAGAAAGCCAGTTCCCGGGTTCAAGTACTGGTGGCTTAACTGACCGGGTTCAAGTACTGGTGGCTTAACTGACCTGTGAAGGGAAGAAGACCGGCGCAGCCAACTTATTTCATGATTTTTATGTCCAAAAATAGGTCCCTAAACACAAAAACTGTATATAGTTATATTATGGTAAAATAATGTAAAAAAATTGAACAAAAAACTCAAAAGTAGAGTTTTAAGCACTGGAAGGATAACCAAGGATTAAGGTGCTTACCTTGTATGTGACAACTCCTGGTTAGATTCCTGACACTGCTTATGGTCTCTTAAGTACCGCCATGGGTAATTCCTGAGCTCTGTATGTATAAAAAACCAATAGAAATAAATTTTTAAAAAATTTAAAAGGATTACCTTAAAAAAAGCCAAAAAGTGATAGCTGACTTTGCTTTCATTTTGATAATAATGTGAGACTTGAAGAAATGCTAGGAAAGTTAATAGGGTAAAATCTTTGAATGTAAGAGATTTTCAGGTATTTTCTAGTTCCCAGTTATTGGCAAATTTAAGTAGTCTCACTTTCAATGTAGCTATTGAGATCTAGCTGCACATCAAGGATGAAATTCACCTGTTCTTAACAAGTGTCAGGGTATTTTTTTACGGAAACATGTTGTATTAACTTGCCAGTAATTAAGTTGGCATTGCATATTATTTTTGTAGCAACCTTCACTGATTAGTTTCCTGATATTTAGACTTGGGTTTCTGAAAAAAAAATGCTTAAATGGGAGAAAGTTTTTCTCTTTCTTGTTCAGATTGAATTGGCCCTGTTATGTTGCTAAGGATGGTTAGCATATCAATTTAGATATATCAGTTTGATTTTGTAAGTCCTTTAGTAGACAACTGTTTCTCATTCTGGCAATTGAAAAATGGAGTAAATAGTGACATACTACTTAAAACCAGATATTAGACTTAGTTCTTAAAATATATTGCTTTTACTTTTTTATATTTACTCTTATAGTAACCTTTAAACACTTTAAAGTGAACTCTTTTTGAAACCCAAATAGTTCAGGAATACTATTTTTTTTAAGATTCTAGACTACTGGTATTTAGAAGTTGTTCAAGAGTAAATCTCCCCTCATTATGTTCTTTAATTTAGTTAAAAGAAACCTTGGAGCAATCAATAGGTCAACTGCGGAGTCAACGTTTACTGAGAAACTCAGGAACGAGAAGCATTTCTGTTACAAGTCTGAGTGCAAGTGACCTCGATGGTGGCACTGTGACAGGTAATTTCTTCAGATGTTCTGATAACCATTTTTGTAGGTGCACTTAATCTTTGGAGAAATATAACATATACATCAAACCATTCAAATAGGTGTTAGAAGATTCTGGTATCAAGGATTTTACACTGACTATTTTGAAATATAGTTGAGGGCACTTTGTTATAACTATGTAACACTTTGCTTGATAAAAGTTGATTCTTTTGCCTCCAACGAAAACATTATACAAATAGGATTTAGCATGGGATGTACTTTTTGTATTAGGAGTCCTGTTTTAGCTTTATTGTTATTTGATTAATTTGATGATAAAATATCCGATATGACACTTTGTTTAGAATAGGTAAATTTCATTCTTGGTGTGCAGCTAGATCTCAATGACGATATTAAAAGTAAGACCACTGGGCTGGAGAGAGCACAGTGGGTAGGGCGTTTGCCTTGCATGAGGCCAACCCGGGTTCGATTCCCAGCATCCCATATGGTCCCCTGAACACCGCCAGGAGTAACTTCTGAGTACAGAGCCAGGAGTAACCCCTGTGCATTGCCAGGTATGACCCAAAAAGAAAAAAAAAAGTAAGACCACTGAAATTAATCAAATTTAAACTTTTCTGTAGCACTGATGAAATTCATGCTTAAGGAAAAGAGGCTTAGAAAAGAACAGAAAAGTCTGCAGTAACAAGAAGTGATTTAGATACACGTGAACATTAGTCACTTGTATTGGTATTATTACTATGGGCATGACAAAAAATGATTATAAACTGGACATGATAAAACGTGTATGTGGTTTTTCTTGAGTTTTAAGAATCTAGATTTTAGAGTAATTTATTTTAAAAATATGATTTATTATTGTGTATTTCAGGGAGTTGTAAAAGTTATTTGAATTAATTTTATGATTCAAGTGATTACAGTGTTGCTTTTTTGAAAAGGTTAGAAAATTAGAGTTTCTGCTGTATTGTCTAAGTTATTTTTTTTCTTTATTTTATCTATGATAAGATCAAGATTGGTACCAATTCCGCAGAATATTATGACCAAAGCAAGATACTGGGAAATATATTTTTGTTTGTTTGAATTTTGATCCACACCGAATGTTGCTCAGGATTTACTCCTGGGTCTATGATCACTCCTGGTGGGCTTAGTTGGATTAGGAAACATTTATGTGTCCCTAGTAAAATTTCAGTGTTTCTTTTCATGTGTTTTTTTTCCTTTTTCATTTCTTTTACTTGTAAAGAGAGCCACCGTTTTCCACCTACCTCACCCCTCAAAGACTATGGGGAGCACCAAGGTATTAAACGAAGTAGGTCCAGAACTGGTGTGCGATTTGGCCGGGATCCTGATGACATGGGCCAGGTACTTTTTTTTTTTTAATCATTCTGTTACCTGTATTTCTTACATTGTTATGTGAATGTAATTATATAGGTCTCAGTGTATATATATAATAGCACTGTCCTGCACTGTCCTCCTGTTGTTTACCTATTTGCTCGAGTGGGCAGCAGTAATGTCTCCATTTTGAGACTTGTTACTGTTTTCAGCATATCGAATACCTCACGGGGAGCTTGCCAGGCTCTGCCGTGCTAGCAGGATACTCTTGGTAGCTTGGTGGGCTCTCCGAGAGGGACGGAGGAATCGAACCTGGGTCGGCCATGTGCAAGGCAAACACCCTACCCTCTGTGCTATCGCTCCATTCCCCATATATATATTAATATATAATTTTATGACTGTTTAAATAATATTTTGAATATCAGGAAATTTGTACGGATCTTTTAATTTTTTGTTTTTATTTAAGCGCGTGGCCGCATTTGCAGCTGCGCGACATCTTATCATCTCATTCCTACTTTGGACAAACTGGCAGGCTACCAAATATAACCTGCCCACACGGCAGAGTCTGGCAAACTCCCCGTGGCGTACCCAATATGCCAAATACCAGTAACAATGATGGGTCTCATTCTCCTAACCCTGAAAAAAGCCTTGAATATGGCACTTTAAAAAAAAAAAATCTCAGGGCTAGGATGAAGAAGACGTTACTGGCACCTGCTTGAGGCAATCGACGAACAACAGGGTGGTCGTGATCGTGATTTAAGCTTTTATTTTTAATGCACTAAACATCATTTTATTATTATTGTTACTTTATGGCAGATTCTATTTTAAAAACATTAAAAAATGTCTTGGATAGCTGAATTCATTAGAAAGGACTTAGAAATGTTACTAATTTTGATATTTTTGTTTTGTAATTTTGGGATTGAGGTTCAGAGTTGTTCTGATAATCTCATTACAACATAAGAGAAAGATACCGTGCCAAGTGTATTAGAAAATACTTTGTAGCATCATTTCTTGTTTATGTGATTTATTTGTTTAATTTTGGGGGAGAGGTATAGAGACATACCTGGCAGTGATCAGGGCTCACTCCTGACTGTGCTCAGCGTTCACTCCTGGTTGGGCATGGTGATTATATGTGGTGCTGGGAATCAAGCCTGGGAATCAAGGCTGTATGAGTGTCAAGTAGCCTTCCTGTTGTTCTATTGTGTTTCTATTGTGTTATTTTTTAAGTAGGTAAAACTGCTGGCGTGAATTGTTGTAATTAAGTCTAGAGCAGAGCATAATATCCTAATATTAACCTCTTACTCTTCCATTCTGTTAAATTTTTCTGTCTTAGGGATGGATGCTACTTGTGTTTAGAAACAGTGATGAGCAAAAAAAAAAAAAGCATGCATCTTTAGTTTATATTGTAGCACTACTAGAATGTTAAGAAGTAGGCTAGATGTTAATAAGTTCATAATACATCTTTAGTTACTAACTGATATATGTATAGTAGAAAGAAGCATGAGACTCCAGGAGTAAATAGCAGAGAAATCTCCTCCTGTCGGGAAGAGAGACTTTAGGATGAGATTCAGAGTGGACTAAAGAGCGTTTAAGGTAGAACAAGTACCTTGACAGGAAGGATGATGACACCGATGACATCTTAAAGAAAGCCATATGGTTAAGGAAGAATGAAGAATTGAGATCCTGCAAGGCCTTACAAATGGATGACAATTACTTTGAAAAAGTCAATCTGACTATAATGTAGAAAATGGGAGTCAATGTGGGAAAACTAATTAGAACTCTGTTGCTGTGTTCTGAGTGTGAGATGATGATCATTTAGATCCTTTGGAAATAAAGGGGTTTGGTTTAAAATATTTTTTGGGGGATAAATGAAAGTTATTGAAGACCAGTCCATCTTGGAAGGGTGGAAATTAATATATTGGGTTCGAAAATTTTGCAAAAATGTCTGCTTGGAAAAACTCAAAAACATGTTGGCAAAGCCTGAGTGCTGTTTGCTTGCTACACTATCTCCATTTCTGTCTCTGAATTGTTCTTTTTAAATTTTATTTTCCTAGAGTGACCTTTAGCTCAACACTGTTTCTTAATCAACTTTGGCACAGCACTTATGCTTTTGTTTCCTTACGTTTATTTATTTCCATAGATTTACAACAATAAGCTTAGTTGTCTCCCATGTCAAATTGAGAGCTACTTATTTCTCCTTGCAATAGCTTGCTGATTAGTGGTTCATTGTATATTTGTCGAGAGGAATCAAACTGGTCTTTCTGCAAGTCTTCATACATTAAAATTTTAAATTGCAAATAATAGCATGCACATTTACAGCATACATACCTGCAATAAAAAATATAATGATAAGAATAAGATGCATGTAATCACAATTCAGAACAAGAAATAGAGCCCTATTATACCCCCAAAATCTTTCTTGTATTTGTTTCTCCTTTTCAAAGGGCTGTCCACTATCTTGACTTTAATAACTTTAAAAGACTTTTATTTACTTACACCTTGGTTTTTATTGCCTGCTGTTAAATTTTATATAAATGGACTAATGTTTTATCTTAGAAACTTACTTTTTTATATGAATTTTTGACCTTTAGCCATACAGATATGTAGGTAATTTGAATGCTTCATTTTAAATGCTTTGAATACTCCATTGGATATTGCAGTTTATTTCCGTGTAGTCTTGATGGATGTTGCCTCATTGTTAGTGTTTTTGTTACGAATAATGCTGCTCCAGGCGTACTTATACATGTTTTCTGTATACTTGGGCAAGATTTTTTTCTGCAGTGTGTGTTGGCACACTGTGGACTGGAGTGATAGCACAGCGGTAGGGCATTTGCCTTGCACAGTCAGCCTGGCTGAGCTGGGTTTGATTCCTTCGCCCCTCTAGGAGAGCTCGGCAAGCTACTGAGAGTATCTCGCCTGAACGGCAAGGCCTGGACATATTCAATATGCCAAACACAGTAACAAGTCTGAAAATGGGGACTCTACTGGGCCCAGTGACAGTGACAGTGACAGTGTTGGCAAAATTGTTTCTCTACAGCATGTGTTGGTCTGATTGAATCAAATTCTATTGTAACATAATCATACTTATTTGTTTAGGGCTACTTTTGAGCTGGCATGGTAGAGTTGAGTAATTGCAACCAAAGTCGTATAGCCTGTGGATCTTTTCAGAAAAAGTTTGTCATTTTTATAGTATCTATCTGCAAGGAATGGCATTACTGTGAGATACTGAAATGATGCTTTAATAGTGTATAGGGACTTAAAAATATTTCATTTGTTTATAATTGGTGATTTTTTTTCCCTACAGAAGTATCCTTTCTCTTCGCAGACAGTAATGCATTTTCTTTTTTTCACATTTATTTGTTTTAAATGAATCACAGTGATATACACATTTAAAGCTGTTCATCATTGGATATCAGTCATATCATGTTCAAACACCCGTCCCTTCAGCAGTGTACTTTCCCCAATGGTCTACCAACGGTCCCAGTTTCCTTCCCGCTCCCTGTCCCATTGCCTGCCACATCTCTCTCTTTTTTAATTCATTATTTTTTAAAATTATGTTTTATTAATATAAAATTTGAGCATTATGGCCAAAAAAACCCCCAAGTTATTTTTCTTCTACTCAGTGCATCTTGATGGAAGAATCCAGCAGGATCCTAAATAAATTATTATGTTTTGCCTTTACTAGATTCATGCTTTTCATCAGTCTCTTCGAGATCTCAGCAGTGAACAAGTTCGCCTTGGAGACGATTTCAACCGGGAACTCGCCAGAAGAAGCCGGTAAAGGGAGAATATGGTTTTTATTGACAATATAAATTATTCAAAGATAAAAGTTTGTTCTATAATTGACATGTTTACATAAAATTTTTTAAAAAAGAGCTGTGACTTGGCATTTTAAAATTTGTTAATCAAAAAGTTCTTTACATTTAGAATATATCATGACTGAATGTTAGAATAATTAATTTTATGTTTCTGAAATACTTCAGTTTAATTTTCTGGAGAAGTACATTGTGAGACTTTAGCAAAGAGGCAGATTTGCAAATATGGTGAAGAGAGACAGAGATGGTTTACTGGTCTTTGTCCTTGAAGAATTAAAAAAATGCATAATATGGAACTTACAGATATGAACTTTTGTAGAATCTGGAAGTGTATTCAGTTGAATTTTTCAGAAATCCAGTGGTTTATCTTTGCTCAGTTTTTGTGATTTTTGTCAATCTTAGGTCACCTAGAAGAGAAGTGACTATTTTGAAATTTCTTCACTGTCTCCTTATTTTTATGATCAGCAATGACAGTTGACTTTGATTCAGAGGACATATTTTTTTCCCACAAGACAAAGTCTTTTGTTCCTTCTTAAGGGTCACTCTCTGCAAACCACATTGATTAGGGAACAACAAAGCTGAATTGCCACTTGTTTGCTTGCTAATTCCTAGCTCAACTAATTAAATTATTCTACACTTTAGTTTTGTGTAGCAATTGTACAGGACTTCTTAAGCATTTTTCCATTGGCATCCACCTTTCTTCCAGTAAATGCAACATGGACCCACACTGGCACTGTCAGAAATATATTTGATTAGTTCCTTGGCTGAATTTTGAATTCTTTTTTTTTTTTTTTGTTGTTGTTGTCTATTCCCAAACTGTTTACTATTGCCATTTTTTCATGATGCACCCCCACATTCAGATAGGCTACCTCAGATGGGGTTGAGATTCACAATTTAAAAAGATAGGCTATTGAAAAAGAAGCAAATAATGAACATTAAATCTATGAATATCAACTGTATTCCTTAAGTTCTCTGCTGTAAGGTGAGCAAATTAGTACTAAGAAAGAAGGAGAGGTATAGGAACATGGGCTTTAGGAAATAGTTGCCATGTTAGAATATAAGGGGAAATTACAGGGGTGACTTAATTGACTATCGTGGACAGGGTCATGCATATGCACTAAGAATCTTCAGATTTGTGGGCTGATACTATCTGATTATGGCTTGTGTAACCTAGAGGACTGTGTGAGATGAGGAGACTAACTCAGAATAAAAGTCGAGTTTCTTGTGAAACTCTGTGGCTTTATGGATAAGGAAGCTTTTAGGTTCTGCTTCTGCTTTATTTGCACTACATACTCCTCTGTTTCCCCTCCCCCACAGAGTTTTACTTTATTTGTAGAAAATTACTAGTTAAGAGCTGTTAAATTTTTATTTTCTGTTTGATTCAGAGAGGTTGATGTTCTCATTTAATTACTAATTTTTCACTTGACATTTATGACAAGAGGTACTTTAAATAATAAAAGTGCATAGAAACCAATACTTGTGTGTATGTGTGTGTGTTTGCATGTTTGAGCCACACTCATTCAGAGCTTTCCTAATTGATTTGAGGAGGGTGAGGGAGGATTAGCATATGAGAGATAATAGATGATAATGACTTGACCAGAAGTACAGCAGAGAAGAGATAGAGAAGCATTTTGAAATTTTTTTTTTTAAATTGTGGAGCTAGGGTTTAGCAATGGATTGGCTTCTTGGATACTCATTAGAATTGGTTTAAGAGAAAAAAAAGCCAAGGACGGGAAAAGCCAGTGAGATATGGGAAATATAGTAGCATACAGAGCTACAGAGGCCAAAAAAGACATGTAGATAATGATATTTCCAGATACTTAAAGTTACACAGGTAGGTAATAGAGCAATTAAAAATAGAAGTCAAGGGGGCCAAAGCGATAGCACAGTGGGCAGGGCATTTGCCTTGCATGCGGCTGACTTGGGTTCGATCCCTGGTGTCCCATATGGTCACCCGAGCAACACCATGAGTAATTCCTGAGTGCAGAACCAGGAAAAACCCCTGAGCATCTCTGGGTGTGACCGCCCCCCCAAAAATAATAGAAGTGAATTTATCTGAAGTGAAAAAGAAATATAAACGAGGTAGTTCAAAACAGAAGTCAGTTGACGATGTTGTAAATGATGGAGGTGAGGGCCATAGAGATAGTATAGCCGGATGTGTGCTTGCCTTGGATGCAGCTGACCAGAGTTTGATCCCCGGCACCCCATATGGTTTCCTAAGCACTACCAGGAATAATTTCTGAGTTCAGAGCCAGGATGATAATCCCTGAGCACTGCTGTGTCTGCCCCCCCCCCCCCCCCATAAAACTAAACAAAACAAAACAAACTGAAAAAGATGAAAATGATAGAGGTGTTCTGCAACAAAATTTAGAATGGAAATATTTGATATCAATGCTAGTGGGAAAGAACCAGAGATAAGGAAGAATGAGAGAGGAAAACCTTTTTATTATGTTTTCTGTACTATTTGATTATTAACCTAGAAAGTGATTGATTTGATGGGGAAAAATAATGGGAAACAGACTAGGGAGAGGAGAGTTTGGATATTATAATCTGATATGATTTGGCTGTGATTTTTCTAGAGAGGATGGAAGATGAAAATTTTGACCTCGTTCTTTTCCATCCTCCTTATATTAATTTAAGGTGGGCATTATGGGCCTTGGGAGACATTAAAGTGGTAAGGACACAACTGACCCTGATTTGTGTCCTAGTACCAACAAACATGCCCCCCATACTATCTAGAGTGTTCACTGAGTACAAAGCTGGTAGTAAGCCTTGATCATAGCTGGGTCACGGTCACCATCCTCCCATTGTTCATTGATTTGCTTGAGTGGGCCCAGTAACATCTCCATCGTGAGACTTGTTGTTACTATGTTTGGCATATCGAATACGTAAGGGGTTGCTTGCCAGGTTTAGCCGGGCGGCGAGCTTGCTGGGCTCTCCAAAAGGGGCTGAGGAATCGAACCTGGCTCAGCCAGGCAGGCTGAGTGCAAGGCAAATGCCCTACTGCTGTGCTATCGCTTCAGCCCCATATTTGGGTGTGGTCCCAAAACATAAAATAAATAAATATAATGAGTGATACGGCGATCTGTTTATTGAGGTTGATGTTCCAGTTTTCAAAGTGTCACTCCAAACCAACAGCGTCAAAATGGCCTTGTAAATTGTGCACATTCTTGGTCCTCATCCCGGATCTACAGATTCAGAAACTTGGAGGACAGTGTCTGATCTGTGTTTTAATAGTCTTTCAACTTTATTGCTATGTTTGATAACATTTGTATGGTATTATACAATAACATAGTAGAGTAGGGGTATTATGCAATTAATATGGTTGTTATAAATTTTACTCATTATGTATGTTTTCTAAAATATCCACCTTAAATTTTTTTTTTTTTTGCCCAGGTCGGATGCTGAAACAAAAAGGGTTTTGGAAGAATTGAGTGAAAAACTTAGTGAAACTCAAAAACAAGAAGTGGTGAGAACTCTGTTTAATAAAAAGTATTATATAATATGTAGATGATAGAATAGGTGACTGGACTGGTTGTGACCACCATGTAGTTGAGTAGATGGTGAGAATTTTATTATAAGTATTTGAAAAAAGGTAAGGTAAAGGTAAAGGTCCTCCCGTTGATCGTCGATTTGCTCGAGCGGGCCCAGTAACATCTCCATTGGAGACTTTGTTGTTACTGTGTCTGGCATATCGAATACTCTCGGTAGCTTGCCGGGCTCTCCGAGAGGGGCGGAGGAATCGAACTCGGGTCGGCCATGTTGGCCGCTTGTAAGGCGAACGCCCTACCCGCTGTGCTATTGCTCCAGCCCTTTAAAGGCCCTCCCGTTGATCGTCGATTTGCTCAAGCGGGCCCAGTAACGTCTCCATTGGAGACTTTGTTGTTACTGTGTCTGGCATATCGAATACTCTCGGTAGCTTGCCGGGCTCTCCGAGAGGGGCGGAGGAATCGAACTCAGGTCGGCCATGTTGGCCGCTTGTAAGGCGAACGCCCTACCCGCTGTGCTATCGCTCCAGCCCCGTAATAACCTGAAATATCTAATACCATTAGATATTTCAGGTTATTACATAATGGTACAATCCCTATTTTTTTACTTTTTTTTTTTTTTTAATTTTTATTAGTGAAACACCATGAGGTACAGCTGTGGACTTCCAAATTTTTGTGCTTGGGTTTCAGTTATACAATGATCGAGTACCCATCCCTCCACCAGTGCCCATTCTCCACCACCAATGATCCCAGTATTCCTCCTACCCCCTTAACCCCCCCATCACACCCCGCCTCTGTGGCAAGGCATTCCCTTTTGTTCTCTCTCTCCTTTTGGGTGCTGTGGTTTGCAAAAGAGGCATTGAGTGGCAATCATATTCGGTTTATAGTCTACTTTCAGCATGCATCTCCCATCCTGGGATGATCCTCCCAACACCCTTTACTTGGTCCTCCTTTCTCTATCTGAGCTGCTTTTTCCCCTAGCATGTGTGGCTGCCCTTCAAGCCATGGAGTGAACCTCCTGATACTTAAAAAAAATTAAGCTTTGATCAACTATTCTTGAGTGTTACTCTCCTATTTTGTTACTTTATATTCCACAGATGAATGCAATCTTTCTATGTTTGTCCCTCTCTTTCTGACTCATTTCACTTAACATGATACTTTCCATGTAGCACCACTTGTATGTAAATTTTATGACTTCATCTTTTCTAATAGTTGCATAGTACTCCATTGTGTAGATGTACCAAGTTTCTGCAACCAGTCATGTGTTCTTGGGCACTCGGGTTTTTTCCAGATTTTGGCTATTATGAACAATTCAGCAATGAACATAGAAGTGCAGATATCTGTCATTTTGACTGTACTTTTTTGCCTCTCCAGATATATTCCCAGGAGTGATATTGCTGGGTCAAATGGAAGCTCAATTTCTAATTTTTTGAGAATCATCCATACTGTTTTCCAAAAGGGCTGAATTAGTCGGCATTCCCACCAGCAGTGAAGGAGAGTCCCTTTTTCTCCACATCAGCGCCAAAACCAGTTGCTTTTGTTCTTTTGGATGTGGGCCAGTCTCAGTGGTGTGAGATATCTCATTGTTGTTTTGATCTGCATCTCCCTGATGATTCTGATGATTAGTGATGTAGAGCATTTTCTCATGTGCCTTTTAGCCATTTAGATAGACTTGTACAGTAAAGTTTCAGGCTATAAAATTAATGCCCCCAAAGTCCATGGCCTTCCTACACACAAATAATGAGACAGTGGAAAGTGACATGAAAAAAGCAATCCTGTTCACAATTGTGTCCCAGAAAATCAAATACCTCAGAATCAGCCTAACTAAAGAGGTAAAGGACCTCTACAACAAAAACTACAGAATGATACTCCATGAAATAAAACAGGACACGAGGAAATGGAAACATATCCCCTGCTCATAGATAGGAAGAATTAACATTGTCAAAATGGCAACACTCCCCAAAGCATTATACAAATTCAATGCGATCCCTACAAGTTTACCCATGAAATTCTTCAAAGAAATAGATCAAGCACTCCTGAAATTCATATGGAACAACAATCCTCGTGAATGGCTAAAGCAATTCTTGGGAAAAAGACATGGGGAGACATTACCCTCCCCAACCTCAATCTCGTTTTTTTCTTTCTTTCTTTTCTCCTGCCCTCCTCTTCTCCTTGGGAATCCAGCATATAGGGTGTGTGTACTCTTCTACCTAGTCATATTCTGGGGCTGTGTTGTTTTAGAGGCTCTCAAGTCACATTAAGAAATATGCTGTATTGTTTGTTTGGAGGAAATACCTTGTTCATTTTATGAAATATTGATTAAGTTGATATAAATTTATGTACCTTCAGTATAATTCCACTTATATTGTGTTTTATTAAATTTTGGGTACATTAGTTTTCAATTTTTCATATTTAGTAGCTTTATAATGTGTATTTCATTGTCCCTGTTCCTGTTTACATAGTGAATAAAATATGCACACATCCTTGATTGTTAAGTATATTATAAATGAACACTTAAAGCTTTTCCCAGATAATGTGAAGATTTTAGAGCACTCTAACTCCATTACCTTATTCTCTATTTTTGTGCTATTATTGTCATGCATTTTAATTTCATATTTAATTTAGTCACACAGGATTACTAATACCTATTATAGTAATTATTCATTTAGATTCTCTCACACCTTTATTCTACTTAATCTTCTCTACATCTTTATGATTCCATTTCTACCTTAAGAGGATTAAATTTCCTTTGGAATAAGTACGCATATTATGCTTCAAAGAATTTCACTTAAAATTTCTTTGTGATAAGTTCTTGGTTACAACTCTTCTGTGTTCATCTTTAAAATTTTTTTTATTTTCTTTGTTATAAGAAATTTTTACTTGGATATAAAAATTTCTACATAGTCTGTTTCCCCTACTATTCCTTTTTAAGATATTTCATATTTCCTAGGCATCATTGATTATAGGTGGTTAATTTGATAGTAAGAAATATTTTTCTCTAGTTGCTTTTGAGTTTTTCCGTAGCCTGTAATTTTCTGCAGTTTTATTTTGATATACTCAGTTGTACATTTTTAGAATCTTCTTTCATGTTCATACTGTGATTATTTCTACAAATTAGTTTTGTCTCATTCTCTGTATCTGGTTTTAAGATTTCAACTTTTATGCAGTGTCAAGCTTTCGCTTTGTCCCTTTGTATTTATGTTCACTTTTATCATTTTTAATGTTTTTATAGGGACTGGAGCGATAGCACAGTGGTAGGGTGTTTGCCTTGCACGCAGCCAGCCCAACCAAGCCGGGTTAGATTCCTCTGCCCCTCTCGCAGAGCCCGGCAAGCTACTCAGAGTATCTTACCCATATGCCAAACATAGTAACAAGAAGTCTCAAAATGGAGACGTTACTGGGCCCGCTGGAGCAAATCATTGAACAACGGGAGCACAGTGTTTGTTTGTTTGTTTTTGTTTTTATAATCAGAATTTTGAATAGTTTCTTCTGACCTTTCACTTTACCTAATATTCAGCCTAATAAAGTCTATTAAACCCATCCATCAGCTTTTACTCTCAGTTATTACATATTTGGCTTCTAGAATTTTAATTGCATTATTTTTCATTCCCAATTTATTGCAAATATATCTTTGTCTCATAACCACATTATCTGAATCTCTTTAGTCTTTCTATTTCTAGAATCTCTGATTTTCTTTAGGTTTGTTACATTGTTTTCAACTACAGTTTATTCATGACTTTGTAGTTAGTTTTTGTTTGATAGCAGACAATCTGTTTCCTTCTCTGCAAATAAAACCCATGTAATTCATTAATTATCTTGTTTTCTGAGATTGAGGCAATTCACAGTTAAATTTGTGTGTCAGATTTCAATGATTTTTGTTCCCTTTTTTTTTTGTTTGTTTTTGTTTGTTTTTGGTCCACATCTTCTGCAATACTCAGGAGTTGCTCCTGGCCTTGCTCATGGGAACATATCCAGTGCCAGGGATGGAGCCCAGTTGGCATATGCAAGGCAAGTGCCCTACCTGCTGCGCTATCACTCCAGCCCCAGGAATAGAGTCCTTCAGGATTTTGGCCCAGGGTGAGCATGGAATTTGGAAGTTTGAGCAGGGACCTTAGAAAGACAGTCAGTACTTGTTTTTCCCCATAAACCCTGTACATTTGTAACCCACTGTTCTCAGGCATTTTCTTAGATTCTCGCCTGCCTTTTCTGCAGTGACCTAAATCTACCTGCAATCAGAGTGAAAGTGGCCTTAAAAGACAGAATAACCATTTTTGAGTTCCTTCTCTTGCTTCTTAGTCTTATACATTTTTACTTCTATATGTTTCTACTGCCTTAGAACAGATTTTTATTTGAAACATTATTCTCATTCCTTTAGTTATTTTCAGTGGAGTGGTTAGTCTGAATGACCTAGTCTACCATTTTGGAAATAAACTTCCAAAATTTTTCTCTATATATCAGATTCCATTATTATGTTTGCTTTTTCTAATGCACAAATGTTAACTGTTGTGTGAGACTCCTCTTATTTGCTACATAAATTAATTTGTGAGCATGCTATAACAAAGGTTTTGCTTAAAAATGGAATATTATCAGTGTCCTGCTGAGATTCTTGTAGATCTGAACAAGCAATAATATATCCAGCAGTCCTGTCATGCTGGTTATTATTATTTTTGGGTTATACCTGGCAGTGCTTAGGGGTTATCCTGGCTTTGCACTCAGGAATACTCCTGGAGGTGCTCGGGGGACCATATGGGATGCTGGGGAATTAAATCTGGATTGGCCTCGTGCAAGGCAAATGCCCTATCTGCTATACTATTTCCCTGGCCCTTATTATCTTATTATTATTATTATTTTATGGATGTATGACATCTTTAGATATTTGAAGTATGTGGTTGGAGTTTGGATATACTAATTTGTACAGGCTACAATGACCAGATTGATAATTTTATTTTCATTTCATTTATGTAGCAAAACACCTAGCAAG